GATTTTCATGCAGAGAATGGTCTAGACATGTTTTGTCTGCATTTGGTGGTAGTCCTGTTTTGTTAAACGTCTCACAACAAATCTCGAAATATATATTCATTAAAAAAAAAAAAAGGATGGCAAGATACCCGACACTCAGAACATATACCTGTACATAATAATGCTTGATAGAAAGAAATTGATAACCTTGGAAAAAATGAAAAACATTTTTTTTCCTCAACTGAACGACTCACACTTAGTTTATGGATTATAAAGGGCTCTTTCATTTTCCTTGAAGAATCATTCACTCTTTTGCAGCAATCTGGATATTGTCTCTGCGGTCATCTCTTTTTTGGAGTGCTTTTCCAGTCCCCTCTGTCACATACACAGACTCCTGTGAATTTTATTTTTTCTCTATAGCCAATCTAATCTGTTTTGACATTTTCGTCTCTCATCTGGCCTGTTTTTAGATTCTCCTGCTCATTCTGATTGTCACAGTCTCTTCTCCACCTAGCTCCAGAAGCGCACAGTTTGCGGCCACCCTATGTCCTGACCCCAGAGGTGATGTGCATCGGCCTTTTAATCTTGCTCAGCCATCACTGCAGTCAATACCTTCCGATAGTTCTAATACCCTCAGTGTGGCCCTGTCTTTTACAAGAGACTCGATCATCTGGAAAGAAGATCGGCCAAATTGGACAGTATAGGGCAGGCAAACTGTCAATGATAACTCATGCTACACAAAACACTTGTCTGGTGACTTTTGGGGGGAGAGGAATTGGAAATGGACTCTAGAAGAAAAAAAATATTGCCAAATTGACAGGTGCGAAGCCAGCACATCATTTTAGGCGTACATCAGACTTGATTTACATTCGTGTTTAATACGTTGGTTCTGTCCATTGCACCTAGTAGCCTAATAACAGCTTCTACTCTTCAACAATGATTTGTGTCAGGGAGTATTTTAGCATTCATTGAAGAGCATTTTTAGGTTGGAAGTCACTGATTTTGGATGAGAGAGTGCTTCATGCTAATTCATCCCAGAGTTGTTTGATGGACTTGAGGTCAGGCAATTGTGCCGCTTCAGTTCTTGAACAACAAATGCAGTGAAAAGAATGTATTGACTTAGAAGCTGTGTATATCCATGTGGTCAGTGACTACCCAAAGCCGAAAATCTTACTATTATTAGAATAGCAAAAGTACTGTGTATTCATAATTGTTATTAAATTGTAGGCTGGCAGCTCAGTTGATAGCAGCCCCCTCATTCAGTTGTTGTGAATTCTATTACCAATTAAATAACTGATTCTTACTGTTGTTGTTGTTGTTGGTGGTGGTGTGTGTGTCTGTTTGTGAGCAATTAGTTTTTATTTCCAAGGTCAAGGTGGAGGAGAACTTTATTATCCCTGACGGGCAATTTGTTTTCCAGCCGTTGGTATCACACAGCCATTAAACAAAGTAAAACAACAATAAATGAAACAGAAATCAAAACACTATAAACAGGGTCCTATATACGCAATAAATACTGGTTATATGACACACAACAGTGACTGTGTATTGTTGAGAAAAGCAGTGACAAAGGAACCGATTGAATTCCTGAAGGGATGAGTCCATGAAATGTCTGGCCAAAGGAGCACATTCAACCTTCTGCAAATGTTGCCATTTACACATGTGGCATAAGAATAAAAATAGAGGACATTAAGTCAAGAATGGCCAATGTCCAACCAAAGTTTATCAATGATAATGTCTCAAATACCGTATCTATGATTACAACATATAGTGTGTATCTACAATACACTAGGCTGTACATAGGTGTTGCGCTTGTCCGCATGCATGTAGAAAATATTCATATGCGTGCCAGATTTTACTCTACGGAAGCGTGTAGCTCCCAATGCGGAGTAAAAATATGTTTAAATGTACTCGCAAATACGTTCAAACACACTCGCAAATACATTCAAACATATTCGCAAATACGTTCGAACATATTCACAAATACATTCGAACATATTCACAAATACGTTCGAACGTACTTGTAGGCTAAATGATACAAACGTTTCGTTTTTCCCATCATGCCACCAGTCATTGACTTGCACATGCATGATGGGAAAAATGTTAAAACCATAAAATTAAGAATAAACAATTTTAACTTCATTTTCAACCGTATTGGTATTGGCATAATTAGAAAAGATTTACATTTGGGTTTTTTTTTAACATCACACATGCTAACGGGTAGGAAATGTCAGATTATACCGTTTATGCCCTAATGTTTTTCTAACAGGGATTACAATTTGCCGGAGTCTCATTGATTAAATGTGGAGTAACATAATTTTGTCGGTCTTTGGGCTCATTAATGCAACATGTAGCTGTATTTTTCTTCATAATAGCTGAACGCTTGACAACATTGCAAGGATTGCAGTTTAATTTATTATGGCTCAAATCTCAGTGTTTGTGCGAGAGATCGAGACATGTACAAACACAGACTTTGGTAATACAATGATTTGCAAATCACGTTCAACCTATCTTTAATTGAATACACTACAGAGACATATTTAATGTTCAAACCAATAAACGTTATATTTTTTTTTCGCAAATAATCATTAACTTAGAATTTTACGACTGTGCCATGTTCCAGAAAAGCTGGGAGTAGGTCATGTTTACCATGATGTTACATCACCTTTGTTTTCACAACATTCAATAATAGTTTGGGAAACAAGGACACTAATTGTTGAAGCTTTGTAAGTACAATTCTTTCCCATTCTTACTTGATGTACAGCTTCAGTTGTTCAACAGTCCAGGGTCTCTGTTGTTGTATTCAACGCTTCATAATGTGACACGCATTTTCAATGGGAGACAGGTCTGGACTGCAGGCAGGCCAGTCAAGTAGCCACATGCTTTTACTATGAAGACACGCTGTTGTAATACTTAAATATAGGTTGAACATGATTAACAAATCATTGTGTTCTATTTTTATTTTTGCTTAGCACAACATCTCAAAATCATTGCAATTGGGTTTGTTAATCTATGACATCGCTTTTCTTGAACACAAAATAAATGAAAAAGAAAAATGCATGTGTGGCACGCATCCGACAGCCATCAGACTTCCACAAACACATGCACTGACAAATGGCGGCAGCCAAAATATAGGGTCAAGGTTTTTGTTTTTTTTTACCCACATGGATTTTTTTTAAACTTGCGAGGCGAAAAAGATCAAGCATATTATAGATACCTACTGCTGTGAAATCTCTCCACGCCCCTATCCCCCGGCTTCTTATCGTCCCACCTCACTGAGAGCTTATTCATTCATTTTATTTCATTCATGCATATGTTGCCCTAATACTGTATGTTTCAATTTGGCACAAAGAGAGGCTCCCTCGGCTTTGGAGCTCGTTTTCCCTGATCGATTATAAGGGGCCAGGGTTCCCCGCTACCATCGCCCTCCCATGGCTGTCTGCTCAGCGGCTCCTCACGATTTCCACGTCTGCAACTGGCGCATAGTCAAACACATACAATCACTATTTTTGCTTGCTCAATTTTTAAAAAATGTTTCGAACAATTGGCCTGACGGGCAAAATGAGTATGTGAAAACAGGCTGGGTGTTATGTTTTTGTTTAGGTTACATTTGATTTTGTTCCCTCATGTGCCCTTTTCGTCTCCACTTGTTCTCGTCAGACGTGTCCATTGTGTTGAACCAATCAGCTCCCTCGACCCTTTGTGTCTTGTCCAGGTGTTTCTTGTTGTCTTGTCACTGTCATGTGCCGTGGATGGGGAACATGGGACGGCCGCATGACATCTTACTGTCATGTTTGATCTCTTTGGGATCAACAGGTGGCTCTGTCGGGCTCCTCCAACAGCAGCACACTTGTTGGTCTTAATGTCATGAGTAGGTTTTCTGTTAAAAGGACTCCTGGCCCAACCACTCAGTGTCGGCTGACTGTTTGTGTTGGTGTCATTGCTTCTATTAGTTCGTGTTTGTGCGTTACTACCATGGATTTTTGCTTGTAATTTTGTCACGTCATGCTTTTTGCTGATGCCATGGGTTTTTGTTTGTTATTTTGGATTCTTGTTGTTTTCAGGACTTTGTTTGTTCTGGATTTAGTTTTCATAGTGTTTGATGAATACACTTTGTCAAGTTCAACCCGTTCCTCCCTATCTCCTGCCTGATTTTTAGGGTCCTCCACCAACATGTTTGTGACACTGGGGCGCCACAGATTAAAAAAAAAACACATTGTCAAATACAGTGCAGATCAAACCATGACGGTGGTCTCTCTTTCTCTCTCTCTCTCTCTCTCTCTCTCTCTCTCTCTCTCTCTCTCTCTTTCTCTCTCATATATATATATTTATAAAATGTTATTTATATAGCACTTTTCACACATAAAAATGCAACTCAAAGTGCTGCACGGTCAAAACATTTCAAACTTACTGTACAACATAAAAAGAGAACCCCTCCCCTCAACATACACAAATATACAGGTATATCCCCACAAGCAAACATATGCTCATGCACACAGTCTCATGCATATAAAACTTGCACGCATACCCTAATGATCCTGATATTAAAAAAGACATGGCAAGGCACAGAGAAACCATGTGAGGGAAAAAAAAAGAATAAATAAATGAATGAATTAAAATAAGTACATAAATAATGATTTGGAAGCCAAGCTTAAAAGAAATTGAAATTGTGCAAAAAAGGCATATGTGCAGAGGTGCAGGGTTCGTTTCCAGCTCCAGCCCTCCTGTGTGGAGTTTGCATGTTCTCCCCACCTGCGTGGGTTTTCTCCGCGTACTCCGGTTTCCCCCCACATTCCAAAAACATACGTGGCAGGTTCATGCAACACTCTAAATTGTTCCTAGGTGTGAGTGTGAGCGCGGATGGTTGTTGGTCTATGTGTGCCCTGCGATTTGCTGGCAACCAGTTGAGGGTGTCCCCCTCTGCTGCCCGAAGACAGCTGGGATAGGCTCCGACATGCCCCGCGACCCTTGTGAGGATAAACGGATCAGAATATGGATCGATGGATGGATGGCATAATACGTCTCCTTTAATTCGAGAAGCGTCTGCTGAGACAGTGATTTTGTCGCCGCCTGCCATCTTCCTTTGGAAGGGGCGATGAAGTGAAGGAGGTGTGTCTGAGAATGACTCAGCTCCAAAATAAAGATCACATGGTCAAAGATTTCCAAACGAGATACACTGCCCTCTCCCGGTATCAGTTGATATGGCAAAAATAAGAGCATACAGGGAGAAACCATTCATTCCGTGCGACTCAGACGTACACTCGCCGACTTGCAACAGTGCTATGAAAATACATTTAACACATCAACACGTTTAGAAAATAGCAGTTCAATCAGCTTCCCAGTTTATGCAGGCTGCAGTGTACGTCGTTGGTATTTTGTTCCCCTGTAGCTAAAGGAAGTGGTGCAGTCCGATACTATTGAAGGCAAAACTGGGAAGCGGTTTGTTTTCAGCTAGGATAGAACGTTGCTGATAGCTTGCATTGCGGAACCAAATTCTAGTGAGGCTGTGGCTGTTCAGTATCCGCTTGCTTTCCTTTAAACTGTGTCGTTACTTGCCATGGCTCTGTGCGGTGGTGTTGGAGCCATGGCTTTACCAAGCGAGCTAATCGTCCACATCTTCTCCTTTCTCTCCGACCGAGACAAGCTGCGGGCCTCGGCCGTTTGTTCGCGATGGAGGGAGTGTCTGTTCTATCCCACCCTGTGGACCGAACTCAAACTCCGGATAGGCGGCGGCGCAACCTCCGAGGATTCTTTGAGGTTAGAGTTCCTCATGCGGAAGTTCGGCGCTTTCGTGCGAGAACTGCAGCTGGAACTCGCTCCCGCAGAAATCAGGCCCAGTTCCCTCAACAACGAGCCGCCCTCCACGAGAGTGGACCGGCCCCCAAGTCCGGACAACGACCCGCAGCCGTCCAAGCGATGCAGAGACGCAATGGCAACCTACTTAGACCAGGCATTGTGTGTGCTCACCAACATCCGCAATAACAGGTGAACTTAACGCTTAATTTCTTATTAGATTGTGGGAAATTTGAGAATACATTTTGTCTTCGATACCCAGAACGCGTTGAACTATTTATATCGTCTTTATCAAGCAGCTGTGGCTGGATTAGCATAACATGGGTTACGTTAGCCCCGGAGTTATGTAATACAGTACTGGCGACTGTGGCAAGTCTTTAGAGCTGTTGAAACCAATCATTGAATCACATTTGCATCACTGTACTGTTGGAAGTTGTATACAGTATACAGTCCATGCTTTCCTGCTGACGTTTACCAAACATTGCTTAGTGTTCGTTTTATTGTGAGGCTTCAACTGTGGAACGTAGGTGTCCTCCGACTGGCAGATAGAATGCAGCCATACAGAAAGCTTTGAGGGCTTGACTTGCTGACATCAGCAATGTCGCATATTCAAAACATTCCATATACAATACAATGTATGTGGGCATATGTACTTAACTCTTTTGGTTTAGTAGTACAGAACAAGCCAGTTGCAGATCTCATCTACGTATGGGTGAGAATCAAGTGTAAATATTAAGAGGTTACCATACAAGCAGTTTTGTACAGCGGTGGAGGCCTAACTGTACGCTTTAAAACTTGCAGGTATTGTTTCAAAGGCTTTAAGCCTTAAGTAACAAAACAAGTTCACTTTGTTCCATGTTTAACTGCCCTAATGGAATTCATAGGCTTGAAACTGGTGCTTAAAATGGCCCCAATTATTTGTTGGGCCAAAATTTGGCACCAACTATGTCAGGTGGCACAAACTGTTGAGCGGTGAACTATGCTACAATTATGTCCCACCAGAATAGCGATTGCGAATGTTTCCAGATAGCTTGCGATCACCGACAATAATTAAAAAAGATACTGTATAAACGTTTGCTTATGATGTATGTCCCTGACTGTTACATACTAGATACAAGTATCATCAATGTTATGCTAAGTTGCCGAGCAGATGCTGACAGTGCATTATTATAATGATTATTATTATTATTATTATTATTCATAGCGCAAACGCTCTTGGGTAAATGGCAACGTAAGCATTGACGTCGGGACGCTTTACGATGACGTTGTTCATATTTGGCTCTTTGCTGGTGGAAAACCAAACACGTTCATCATAAGAAGTTGTTAAGCATCAACTAAGGACAGCACTGGCCCTGGTGCCGAACGAGCACCAAGTTTTTTTTTTTTTGGGGGGGGGGGGATGGGGAAGGGGTAACAGAGGCTTAGTGCACTTAGCATGCTACTGGATGGGGAAAGTAATGAGAGACAGGATCAGCCAGACAGAAATAGTTTTTTAGTCACTGTCAATATTTAAATCGAGAAATGTTTTCAAATTGTGTTTGCATTAAATATTATTGTGGGATGTCTCACTGGCAATTAATTCACTGCGTCTTACACTGCCTCAGGTCAATTCACTTACATCATGTGAGCAAAATGTTTTGCGGGCAGTGCTGGGATTTGTAACGCATGACAAAATTGGGATTTACAAGAAATATTAATTTTCTCAGCAACTAAGTAATTCAACATGAGCACTGGAAACACAATTTCATAACGGTATGCTCATGTTCCAGTGTTGCACACACATCCCCCTTGCTGCTAAATGTCATTAAAAAACTTAATTAATCTGAAATGTTGTGTCCCAGCAGAGGGTGGTCAGGGCACGGAGTATCAAATGACAGTTTAAAATTGATTAAATAAAAAAGATAATCTTTCCAGCGGTTGAAATCGCCCAAATCATATCTTTCTACGTTGACCCCTGTTCAAAGTTGATACAGGTATCTGAAGAAATTCCCTGACTCATAATGCACTGTGCAGCCCGGATGTCCGCAAGTGGTCTTCCGATGTAATCACAAAACAAGTACTCCGCAGTACTGCTTCCATAATGTCTTGTCACATGTATAGAAGTTAGATTGATTCACAGGGTTTCACCCCAAAAACTTGCTAAGCCTGGTGGAAGAGGAGCTTCATAGAAGATACCGTATTTTACGCATGATGAGCCGCACCTCAAAGCATTCAATTTTCTCAAAAGCCGAGTGCGCCCTATAAACCGACGCCTCCTATACAAGTCAGGCAAAATGATCTGACGCATTTGTAGGTTAAATAAAAGGCAAATAAAGTAAAGAAACAAAAAAGTGTTTTTATTTTGGAAAAGTACATATAATGCCATTCTGTTTCATTATGTTTTAAAAATTGAGTGGAGTTCTAGCGGTGCGAGATTGGCCAGTTGATTTTAGTTAGTGTTCCTATGGCATCAAGTAGGTGATTATTAGCAGGAACCAATTTTAATGTCACTAATTGACGTGCTACAGCTTCTTGTTGACTTTGAAACTTAGCTTGTAGCCGACGTGTGCACATTTTGAGCATGACGTCTCTGATCCACTGGTGAAAGGACACTTTGATTCTCTCCTCTTTCATCTTAAACTGCTTTAAACAACAAAGCGTGTGAGGGAAAAGTGATTAGGACTGCACGACTGTCCGTGTTTTATGTTATGTGTTGTGTTTATTATTTTACTTTGTTAACTGTTTTGTTAAGCGCTTTGTTACAGCTGCCACTGTTGTGAAAGCGCGGTATAAATCAGCATGTATTGTATTGTATGTGCATTCGCCAACACACGCTCAAACAGACAACTACTTTGTGAGCCCTGCTCAACCATTATGAAACGAAAATAATACCAAAAGCATAGTTAATTACTGACTAAATGAAGGAAGAAGGAGACAAGCAAGGCTAATAAGGATATTTAGCCCCTTGTCGATGTGAGCCCATCCACAAGGGGCTAAGGGGTTTGTGCACCTTATGGTGGAATCTATTGTCTTCATAACGTTTGTCTTTCATTTATTTTTATCAAGTCAAGTCAAGTACAACTTTATTGTCAAATGTGCTGTATGTGTACACAGATGAAATTTCCTCCCTCTTAAACAGACAACAGACAACAAGAGGAGCCGCTGTGGGTGCCTGCGCCGCCATCAAAAGAACACTTAACATAAAATGACAAAATAATAATGCCATTTGTATTTACAGTCAAACCTCGATTTTCATCCATAATCCGTTCCAGAAGGCTGTTCGACAACCGAATTGTTTGAAAGCCAAAACCACTCTCTTTTAAAAAAACAAAAAAAAAAAAAAAAAAGGTTATTGAACAGGTCTGCTCACAATGGAAAGCAACACGAGGAAGCGTCACTTCCTTGTCTACCCGAGGAAGCGTCACTTCCTCGTGTAAGGAAGGCGAGAGCAGTCAAATGGTGCATTTAAGTGCGCTCAGTTTGTTCGAGAACCGAATTTCGGTCGTAATCCGAAGCATAAAAAAAATCGAAATTTTTGGTCGAAAACCGATTTGGTAGAGAACAGAGACATTGGAAAACCGATGTTTGACTGTCTATGTTTCATGTCTGTGTTTGTGACTAGTTCTCGTGGCTTTATTTCAGCTGCAGTGGTTGTGAAGGTTCTACATAAATACAGTGTAGAGTTGTATTGTATTGTATTCCCTTTATTATAGCACCATCTTTTGGATGCATAGCGCAACCGCAGCCACTCCTGTAGCTTTTATTCTATGTGCCTTATAATGCATAGGGCCCTATATATGAAAACAGTTTTGGGGTTATTTGCATTTGTGTTGACCCACCGTTTAGTTGCTATTGGTGCTACAATCTTGGCATTAGATGCATTTTATTGTTTTCCTGACCTGATTATGACTTCACTGAAGTTCACCATGTTCTTGGCTGAGGCTCGGAGCTGGAGGGAGCTCATCAAAAACAGGATTGTTAACTTCTGTGCGTCTTGCAACCTCCTTTGCTCACTAACATTTTATTAGAAGTGTTACACTGAGACAACAGTTTTTGTTTTTTTTAATAGATTCTCGAGACTCAATGCCCATGATGACAAGCAAAAGTAACACTAAGTCGTCCTATTGAAACCTCTGACATTGTCGATTAATGTAGGTGATGATTAACAATGCAAAGGCACAAATGTGTTTGTGTGGGTGTGTCCATTTTTGTGGCTCTTTAAATATACAGTGCATATGGCACAGTGATTCTTGTATGCATGGTGTCTCACTGGTCATTGTTTCTGAGTGTTTGAGCACAAGATGTTACGGGCTTGAACCAACAGAGCGGCAAATAGCAGCACAGCTACTCAATGCTGTGCACGGTAGAAAACCACTCAGCAATTTTCAGGGTCGAGGTTTGTGTTGAGACTGCAAAATGGCAACCGAGATGATGACAGATGTTTACGCTTCATTTCAAAATCCTCAATTTCTGTTGTTGAAAGTTGACTTTCAGTCACTGAATGGTGTCTTTTCTGTTTACCAACATTTTCTCTCAGGAACCTGCAGAAGCTGCGTCTGTATGCCGACACACGTATTTTCCAATATGAGAGACTCTTGGACAACTCCAACCTATACCAGATTCACGAGGGCCACAAGAAAATCAACGAGTAAGTCCTTTGCATTTCAAAAAAAATAATTTCAGATACGACGCCGGCTTAATTTTATCCGACCTCAGAGACCAAATATGCCATTTCAAGAACTGTCAAAGGTCTATTCATTAGTTTTATCTCAGCGCCTTCCTCCGACAGAATTAATCTCAAAGGCTATTGCCGGGAAATGTCATGTGCAGGTAGAAAGCAGATAAACCCCTATTCAAATGCCAGGTTGTTGTGCAATAACAAGAGGAGACCAAGATAAATAATCTCAAAACTTTTCCCACCATTCATTTGGCCAGTAAGAAAAGGCATTTTTTAAAAACAGTTTTTGCAAGGGAAAATAAAAATAAACTAATGTTTTCTGGTCGCACAGGTGTACAACACCCTCTTATATCCAGTTGCATTTCTTGGTAACTAGTAATGAGTTACTTTTTTCCAGAGCAGTAATCAGATTAAAATGATTTATCTAAGTCATTGTGCGTTACTGCTTATCTACATCCCTCACCTGGGTGGGTCACAGGGGGACATGCCTGCCCACCAAGTTGTGTGTAAAAAATGTTCAATGTTTTTTTTTCATGTTTAGTTTTTCTAAAGGGTTTAAAAATGTTGAAAATGTATTTGTATTGTTTTTTGTTATTGATGGCATTCCAATTGGTATATTTATAGTATTTGGTTTAAAATACTACAAACAAAAAAATTGAAGTTGTTTAGCGGTCAGCTATTATTTCACTGATTGTTATTCTTTAACTTGTTTTTCACTTTTTTGCTGTGACATTGTTTCCTTTTGTCCCTTCTTTTGAAGTTATACAAAATAATTGACCTGTTTTGTCACCGCTGCTTGTTGCAAACAAAGATGTTACTGTAAAATATTTTACAAATATAACTTCAGTCCATGTGAGTCTTAACATCATATGAAACTACGGTATGCCAGTTGAGATGAGGTGATTTGTAGTCTCAAGTAAACAGTCGAGGATCGGCTTCAGAAAAGAACTATTTAGTTAAATTCCAAAATCAACACAAAAAAATACCATGAACATTGTTGTGTTCCAAATCCACCGGTTTTTATCCATCTCGGGTAGCTGCCATTATTTCCTGTACTCACACCTGCTGTTGACTGTAATTGATGTCACAGCGCTCACAGGCTCAGCTTGCGAACGTCACATGACCAAACAGAAAACAGGTGAGCTGTGACATTTGCAAGCGGAGTCATTCTGTTGGTACACCAAGTGCACAATTCTGAAAATGTTGCCAAACATTGATTAACTAAGGCTGCGTTCACACTGCAGGGCATGATGCCCAAATCACATTCAGATTTAATCTGATCTTTTTAACCACTCGGTCACATTACAAAAATTAATGCAACTTTTAATGTGCATTTCATGCCTCTGTGATGTGACACACATGCCCACAAAGCACAATATCGACTGATGCAGGCAAAGGAAAAAAAAAATGATGTCATGTGGCACAGTAAACCGTCTGAGTGGATGTCTTACTACGATCACCGCAAACGCCCATTTTATGCTTCATATTTCAGGTGGGATTAATTTCAAGTGAAAGTATACAAGTACCACTCTCGAGCTTTATTTGGCTTTTGATGACATAGGTCGGATGTGTGCGGGTAAGTGTCCATAGTGCAGACGCATTGGATCCATATCTAATTTATAACCACAAATGAAAGGGGCCCAGGCCGGATTATAAAAAATCTTGCATTGTCCTGTTCACATGGCATGTAAATATCAGGTACATATTGCACATGAGCAAAAAAAAAATTATAAAAATCAGAATTGACCTGCATTGTAAAACATAGCCTAACATTGTTTGTTTTTAGCTCCCCCATTATGCTGGAATTTATTCCAGCATCTTTTTGTATTAATGAGAAGCTATTTATAGGAGCGTTCTCCCTTTTTTTCCCCTCTTTTTGCTGCAGGATACAGCGGTTGTTCAGGGAGTTGTTGTCTCACAGCAGACAGCTTAGGTGGTTGTCGTGTAGCTTTATACTTGGTCTGGTGACTCCCTCCTCCTTAGCATGCCTATCGAATCCTTCCTCTGAGACCCTGCGGCACCTCAGTTTGGTGGACCACCTGCATGGTATGTATGCTTGTCACTCTGCCTTAGTGTACAGAAGATCCTGGACTCGTAGGCCTCATCTGCATTCGCACATTTGTTGACCATTAAACCACCAAATCAATTCAAATTGTATATTGTCCCAAAAATGTCCACGTCCAACTTGACCAGAATGCCACAGCGGTAAGTAGAGTGCACTTGTACAGCACTTTATCTACACCACATGTAGTCCAATGCGCTTTACCAAGCCTCATATGCACTTTTTTTGAAAACATACCAGAATGTATAGACAACATGTGGCTAACATGCAGCTGCGTCAACCTACCGAAAGGTTTTCCGTTTAAATAACTTCAAATAACCGACTTAACTGCCAGGATCCCTTGTCGTACACTGGCCAAAAGCATAACGCAGGGTTTTTTTTTCCACTTTTGGTCAGGTTTTACATCCATCCATGTTCTGTTGTACTAGCTAGCTAGTGCTAAGATAAGCTAACGTGATCTCCGGTCCAGTGTGCAAGTTTGCAAATTCCCTTCATGCTACCACAATGGGAGAAACCAACAGTGAACCAACGAGAAAGACATTGATACACTGCCCAGATGGGCTTTATTGAGTGATTTTTTTTTTAACAGTTTAATATAATGCTCATTCGCTGGCTAAACATTCCCATACGTCTACAAACACTTCCGGGTGTGGGGTCTTGAGAAGTGCGTGTCACACCCTTCCAAGCATTCCTGTGACACCAATGTGCTATGACTCATCTTCACTCAAATCCCGAAATTGTCATTCGCCATTCATTTTCAACAGCCATTTCGCATCTCAATTTCAGTCAACACCGACTGAAGCATCGTTATCATTAATGCCATGAGAAACTGTGACCACAACTTTTCCCCTCCCTGTAGGTCCGCTTATCTCACCATCGGAGGTGGACCGCCTGTCTTCTCTTCATTCTCTGGCTCTTGATTTCTCTGATCTGACTTCTGAGCTTTGTCGTCTGTTGGCATCGCCCCACCGCACTCCGCTGCATCGTCTCTCCCTGATGCTCAATGGCACCATGGAGGTCAAGCCTTTAGAAGGGACAGCCACAGATGATGATTGGAAGGCACTGGTAAAGCAAGAATCCATCCCAACCTCAGTGATAAGCAGTCTACAGTGGTGTTTGCTCCCTTTCTGATTTTTTTTCAGAGTTAGGGGGTGGTCATACTTACCATCTTATAATACTGCTGTATTTTCCACACTAAAAGGTGCACTGGATTATGCGGCGCACCTTCAATGAACGGCCTATTTTGTAATTTTTTTCCATATAATGGACGCACCGCATTATAAGATGCAATCTACAATGCATCTACTAGATGGAGCTACGCTCAAGGAAATGCCAACAGAACACTACACTAGACCCTGATTTATATGGCAACGATCAGATGTCAGTAAAACTTATTTAATAAAGCAGCGACACAGTTCACTTAACCAACAGCAAGTTATAACATTGACTCGTTAACGTCGAACTCTCTTGCCGCTGCTCTGTTTCCGTGTTCTGTGAAACCGATCGCCTTAAGTTTGAACTCTGCGTTGTAAGCATGTCTCTAGCAAGGAGCCATTTTGGGGTTGACATATTACCGTAATGACCATACACAAGGTGCATCGGATTTTAAGGCGCGCTGTGAGCTTTTAAGAAAATGGAAGGCTTTTAGGTGCGCCTTTTGGTGTGGAAAATACGGTACCATCATTAAACAAAAGTAGTCATTAGTCAAAGATGAGTGAACACAAAAAAAAAAACTTTTTACATGTTTTTTTTTTCCTATGTTTTTTTTTTCCATTAAGGTAGTGAGGAGGAATCCAAACATACATGGCCCTGTTTGGAAAAGTGATTGCCCCCTCTGAAAACTGTGGTTTATCATACCTGAGTTCAATTTCACTGCCACATCCACGTCGGTTTCTGCCACACCTGTTATCAATCATCATTTCACTTAAATAGGGCCTGCCTGACAAAGTGAAGTAGACCAAAAGGTCCTCAAATGTCCTCATGCCATGATCGAAAGAAACTTAGCAGATGACAAAGAATGTAACATATTTTCCGCACTATAAGACACTGTAAGTATAAGGTATGCCTTCAATGAATGGCCTCTTTTAAAACTGTTTTCATATACAGGTATAGGGCACACTGCATTATCAGGCGCAAAAAATACAAGCTACAATGGTGGCCGCCGTTGCTGTCTGCATCCATTAGATAGAACTTCACTAAAGGGAATACAATACAATACAGCTCTATATCGAATCTTTGCCGCGGTTCCATTATGCATCCACTATATTGAGCTACGCTAAAGGGAATCCAATACCGCTTTATATAATAACAGTCATTTGGAAATGTCATTTTGTGTTTACTTGTGTTTTCCGCAATTAACATTTCAAATTTTTCGACAATGGTCAACATCAGAAATCAGAAAGTGGGACAAAACCTTCTTCATCCCACTGTACTTTGTGAGAAATGTTGTTTGATAAAATTGGAGACATCACTCAAACATGCCTGTGGCCCTCCAGGTACGAGTGAGTGCCAACCTGCGAGTGTACATCATGGTCGTGGAGGTCAGCAGCTCAGAGCTCCTCAGAGTGCTCAAGCCAAGCCTTCCACTGGAGCGCATCCACCTGGACAGCAGTTACAACACACTCGTGACCGACGCCACCCTGGAACTCATCGCTCAGCAATACAACAAAACACTGACGCACTTACTTTTACTGAGTGGTGACCCTGACTACCCGGACCTCAGTGTCAATCGCAATGAAGATCCATTGGTCCTCTTGGCTTGGAGGTGTACTCAACTGGCTGTGCTTATCATTCACGGTGAGTTCAATGATCATCTGCTTCTTACAGCAACATATCCATTGGAACCTGTAAAATTGAACACAGGCTCTTCCCGAATGCTGGTTGTTGTGGGATTTGTTCGGATTTCCAGGCCAGGAAATGTATTGCCGGATGGAACTTCTAGTAAATACAAGCAAGCGATGTGCGATAAAGTAGTTTAGCATTTGTTTGGGCACAAAATTAGGGCGAACAATCATGCAAAAAAAACCTCCCAAAACCCCTAAAAAAAAAATTCAACTAGTGTTTTTTTCTCAACCCACTGCTTTTCTTCTCTCTTGAAATACAGTCTTGCTCCTCTTCCTGTCTTCCCTTATTCCCCGACTCACACATCCAGTCAAAAATCGCTGTCGCCTTCACAGCCCCACGGTCAGAAATAAAAGCTCTCTGGTAACAAGCCACCTAGCACAACTGTAGAGTTACTAAAGTAGTCCTGTCAGGTCTGTTTTATGGGTGGTATCAAGAAGTCTTGTGTATGTATAGTACTCCTTTTACGTAGTATCCCCTAAGTCTACAGACTGAGACACCATATACTGTAACTGAAATGCCTTGTGTTACAGCTCATGCAATTCAACTTCATGTATTGTTAGAGGAATCTATGGGCGAAATTGTATCATGTTTAAAGTTTCATTTGATCTGTGCACGTTGAAGCGTCTGGGTGCGTAATTCGCACCCCCAAATTCCTGTTCAGAAGGTGCCGGCCATTTGGGCGGAGGGCTGTTGCAGCCCACACCACAATTAACACATCAAGGCGGGTGGGCGATCAGAGGAGAGAGGGCCAGATCCGGTCACAAAGGGGGAACGAGTAATTTGGGAACAGCGGTTGAACAACAAAAGACGATTTGAGGACATCCGTCGCGCCCAGGCGACATTTGTCGTCCGCAAAGTCTGCGATATGTTGATACAGTGTAGGCCAGACCGAAAGGCGCCAAAGTGCCGCTGGTTCAAAGCGCACACCCAGGTAACCAATCACCACCGAGGGGCCGGACCAGGGGTGCGGTATGCAAATATCGGGGGCAGTGTTATTCTTGTATTTTGCATATGTCACAATAAAGGTTCGAACTCGAGGAGGGGGGGCTCTGAGCGTGATCACGGAGCAACTAAACCGTCGTTCGCTCTCAGAGATCCGCTTCCGTCGATATTGAAGACAATTTTCCTGTGTGCCGAGTCGTTTCTTTAACCTTGTCCGAGAAAATCTCTGACATGTATAGAGCACTTTATTCAGGCACAGCGCTCGGCATATGGCGATCACGCACTGCGTGTAGGGCACCAACAGCCTGAGGGAGGCGCCAAAGAAATCAAGCTTGTAAAAAAAAAAAAAAAATCATAATACCGTATTGGCCCGAATATTAAGACAGCCCTGATTATAAGACGACCCCCTTTTTTTCAAGACTCAAGTTTGAAAAAAGACTTTTTGAACACCAAATTAATTTTTATACAGAAAATAATTACAGTACATCTGAAACAAATGATTATAACAATATATTTGAGAGAAAAAAACATCTTGAAGTTTACACCATAACTTCTCCTCAGCTGCCGGTTAACCTGGCCGATCTTCGACCCACTTTTCTCCAGATTGTAGCTACGTTTCTCTATTTTCTGTTATCTCTTCTATTATTTTCTTCTCTTTTCTTTCTTACCGCTATTTTTTAATGTTCTTCTTTGTGCTTCCGCTATTTTTATTTTTTGGGCACCACAAAGCATTGAATTTATGCTTCGGGCACCAGAATGGCTGGCTGACTTTATTTGAAAAGCTGCAGCTGTACACCATGAAGGTCAAACACAAAACTTAACTGCAGTGAAATGTGTGATGAATGTTTGAAAAACATGCACTTGGATGTTAAAATAACCATGACAAGTTGTGACTTTCATGAAGTTTTGACTGAAAGAAGTAATGTCAGTGCATCCCCATGCAATAAGGTGAATGCACCTCATGTATTTTGCTAACTAATTGGGTATTTATGAAAAGTAAAACGTCAAAACAATGTTGAAGTGAACTGTGGTGAGGTATGTTGAGGTGTCGTGCAAATTATGCAAGCCTTTCAGAAGGACGTGCATGGCAAGTGTTTGACAAGTCACATTTTGGCTTTGTTGGTCTTTATCATTGAGTCCCAAAATCTTTTTTGTACATTAGAGGGACAACTGGAATCTGATTTGTTGTGCAAATACCTCGGCGTGAATGCACCACAAAATATACATTTTGGGTAAGAAAAATCAGATGGTCGTGACGGACAAACCTAAAGGGAAATACCGGTACTAACTCATTTCATAATTTTAGAGTCTTTTGTTTGATTGTTTGTGTTTTACAAAACGTTATCCTGTGCGCACAAAATATTTTGGCTGGGTTGTTTTTTTTTTTCGCAAGGAAAAACTATGAGGTGTGATGAGGCAATTCCGGTTTCTGATAGCATAAGTCGAAGAAATAATGATGTGTTTAAAGTATTTTCGATACGTATGCATACTTTGTCCAACATGTCTCCCCGTGTCTCATTGCAGGCTACACCGTGTGGTCTCATAACTTGGTGGCAATCGCTCGGCTGCGGGGATCCAGTCTTCGTGTCCTGACTGTGACTGACGAGTGCATCGACTGTGATCTGGACCAGCCGGTCTATCTGGAGGGCGATCCGATTGAGAACATGCTCAAAGAGGTCTCGCTGGGTCTTGGCCGAGCGTGGCACCCATGTTTGGATTACAGCGTTGTTTTGATCGAGCCCACCCAGCACTTCCATCAAGAGCTGCATGCCTTCAGCATGGGCATTTAGGCAAAGGATAGCCAGTCCTGAAAAACCACAGCCTGAGCTCGACCAAGGCCAGGCCAGACTAACCAAGTGCACATCAGCGCTCTCCACGCTCCGCCAATCTAATCTCGATTTGAACCAAGGAAAACCGGATAATTCCCAGGACAAATCATGCCGTTCGCTCGACATTTGGCAGATAACATACAAAGCAAATCGTCATTTCCACACAGATTTCTGGTACCTGTACAAATTCTTGGGTCTTCAATTTCAAACTAAGGAATGGGTCATTGCTTTCCTGTCCTATAGGGCCCATTCTGGCCTGGTCTTGCTCAACGGCACGAAACGTTTTGCCAAAACCCGGCTCATGTCATACACCCCAGAGCCACTGGATGTTGTTACATTTTAAAATACCTTCTTTCTCCTGCTCCCAGGTAGAACAGGACGGGGGAGGATGCTTGATGAATATGTCTCAGAAAATTAGTGGGAAAATACTTTGTGTATGTGTGCTCAGATCCAAGTGAAATAGCTTTAGTTTTTCAAGTTTTTATTCCGATTCGATTTTTTTTTTTTACCTTGTCGTTTTGTCTGTTATCTGCTCTGACGAAAGTTGTTCATGTACTGATCAGTTCCTGGGTAACAGCCTTTTACTACGTGGAATAACTATAGCAGCAAAAAAAAATAATTATAACACAAATTAAATGACTGTTGAATAGTTCTCAGCATAGTCTTGTCCGTGCCACGCCTCCTCAGGTGATTGGCCAGATCGCAAGAGTTGCTTTTCACGTGGAAATTGGTCAACTTTAAAGGTGGTGTCATGGAAATCCTTGGTACGCGTTTGCCTGCAGCACACTTTCCACCCTAGCGACATTTATTTCAAAACTTCCCCAGTCGTTAAAACGAGGGAGTCTTGTCTTCCAGTAGGTGCTCATGGCAAAGATCAGCGTCTGAGAGAGCATACCCACTGTTTAATTATTATTTATTATTTTTTTAAATTCGTGATCAGCAGGCAGTTATTCACTTTTCTTACTAATTTACTTGGCTATGTCTCGTTGAGTTCAAGACCTTTATCCCCATGTGGGTATTTGTACGTGCTACTATGGGAGCAACGGAAAGGCTCCATAACAGCAAGCACGCAATAAATGAATAGCAAAGCGCAAAATGTTGCGTGAAAACGATTGTTCCTTCCCCACATCAGCGATTGAGGACTATGTTGCTCTCTGACAAGATTTGTCTGAAGTCAAAGCTTTACAAAGATGGCAAAATAGCATCGCTAGCTTGTACAGTGCGGGTGCAGCTTTGTCTGTGGGAACCTGGCATTTTTGTGACACTTTATGATTAAGAACAGCGTCAAAAGAAATTAATGATGCCCTGAGTGCGATTAGGTGCGTCTGTTGGACAATCAGACGATTGTTTTGTGCGACAGAGTTCAGAGAGGTTGTCACAATAGCTCATTTTGCGGTACAACTCTGAGATGATTGAGAGAAAAAAACAGTTGAGCATTGTAGAATGAACTCTTGTATGAGGAAAAGAAAAAAAAGGCACAATGTAGTTTGGAGTGCGATGGCTCATGACTGTGTTGGCAAGTTTTGTGTTAGTCTCAGGTAAAGCTTTTAACAACCCTTTGGCTGGGACGCAGGTGTGGATTATGTCGATAAGGGTGTGTGGAAACAATCACAGTTCTCGGAGATGCTCTTTTTACTTTGAAGATCCTCTTGAGTCACAGTTGCCTTGGAGATCATCCCCGTTTGCCGGAAGCGGTTATTTATTGCGCCGATTATTTCTTTTTGACGTCCAACGGGCACTCCGTTTTCGGTAGATTTGTTAGCGAACCTAAGCATACATTTGTTTTCAACGCATTGGGTTCATAAAGGCAGAGGATTCTGTCACCAGTAGATGGAAGTAACAGCTACCGTGGAGTGTTTGGGAATCCATGCTGTGAGTAGATGGCCTACTCCTGTCAGAACTGAATGTAGTCCTGTTTTGGGGCAATGCGGATCATGTGCGCGATCTGGCATTCCACACTGAATTATGTCCGTTTTGTCCACAGGCAAATCCAAGAAACGTATATGTTGTACTAGCTGGGTTTTCCAGGCCCAGAATGGTTTCCTTCTGTTGGTCAGGTCAGTCCTGTACGGCACCGGTGTTTACGTGAAGGCTTTTTTCTTACCGCATGACCTCTTGGTTGCAGGTTATTTCACTGATCTGTCGATGGGCAGAGAGTTTCCTTCCCCAGATGGCTTTAGCGCCTTGATTGGTGTACCCGTCATGGCTCACATTGCCAAATATGAAGATCCATATCAAGATCTGTTGTGTATATGTGGTAAAGTTGTCTGCATTCAGCGCATGGGCAGATGTGCTGTCGCATGTTTGGGGAATGACTGAGATACTGGCTGTCAATAATTTGTCGGATGACAATGGGACCATGATGGTTTAGCCACGATAATCTCGTTCTTGGTCCGTATCTCAGGATTGTTGCACTTTGGGTATCAAGAGGGTTTTTTTTTTCTTTTTTGGCTTCTGGATAGAGAAGCTTGTGAATACTGAAGAGAGCCGAGCACGAGCAGCAAAACACCTGTTGACCGGAAAATGAATGGATGAGTATTTGTATTTGGCAGTTTGGTGTTCTTACAGGGTGTACTAGGGATGGGGAATTCAAAGCAATGTATACATTTATAAACTAGGTCTTTATTTCACACAGCAATCTCAATTTTAAGAAGGCCTAATTTCAAAAACAAATGTGTTTTATGAATTCCAACATTTACACTTTGACCTGCCCTGGGATTTTGTATTTCCTCTATCTACTAAAGTCACTGCTTTCTTTGCAGAGTCATTGCCAAGAATAGAGCTACTGCAAACTAGTCATTGGGGTAGGGTTTTTGATTGGATAACTTCATTATCGCATCGGACTTACCGGTATATTCAGTTTTTTTTTTTTTTTTTTTAATAGCTGAGACAGTTTTGAAAAAGAATTGATTGAATTTAGAAAAAAAAAACTCCAACAAAACAAGTTATTTCTGTCGCTAATAATGTGTTTGTCACATAGAAGTATTCTAAGATAGACAACAATACCGCAGAGGAAGATGTAGTTCCAAATAGCTGTCTCATTGAAAGCTAAAAGCTTCTTTTTTCTTCTTCTTCTTCTTTTTTTCCACTTGCAACTCTCCTTTTCTCGCTCATGTGATTTGCCCAGTAGAAACGGAGTAAAGTGTGTGTGCGCGTCCCCGTATAATAGTATATGTTTTGTGCTTGTGTGTACAGTGTGTCGTTAGCTTGCTCATGCTCAGTAAACCTCGCATGTCATGCAGCAGGATGCCGGAAGAGTAGCAAGTAGCTCTCAGGGTACAATCTGTTATCTACGAGGAGGGATAAAAACAATCGCTCAGGCCTCTAGTTTGCTCATGAAACTAGTAGAGTAGTCACAACTGTGATGTTAATGCTGCCAAAGACCATAATGGAGCAAAACGTGTCAATGACATTTGAAGTGCCCGAAACGTCACATACACTGGCAGCAAGCTGGTCCAGTAGTTTTGCTTTTAAAGTTCACATTCTATTTTCTATTTATTTTTTGGTCATTTCTGCCACGTCATTGTTGTGTTTCTTGCCCGCAAGCTTTTCCCTGTGAGAAATACTAGAAGTTACTGCACTAGTTAGTGTGTCTCAAGCATGTTTGGAGCTTTTATTGTTGGAGGGAAAATGAAGAAAGCAGGCGGAGCACATGTGAGGGGAAAAAAAAATCCTCCCAATGTTGTTGGCTACTGTTTTAATTTGTTTTAACATGACGAATACTAGTGGGATTTCATGAGTTCTATTTTTAGTTACTGTTTTTTTTTGGGGGGGGGGGGATCCAGCATGTATTTACTTCATAATAATAAGTAGTATCATTGCTCAGCTTGAACAGACATGCATTTCTTTTCGAGCCTCACATTATGACTTCTATTTTGTTTCCATCATATTTTTATTCAACTCTTAAGTGCAACGAGTGAATGTAAAGGCAAGGAGAACAACGTGGGTGACAAAACACTTTGTCCAGGAAGTACATTTGGGACAAAGTGTAGCATCTCAGTGAGGGGAAAACCCTGCACTGTGGTGAAGTGAGCCAGTATGAGATTAAATGCAACTATTCCAAGCAGTGACATTCCTTCACCAGGCTGGAACTGGAAGTTTTCTGGCCTCTCGGCCGCGGCGTGCGTGATTTGAAATGTATTCGATCAAGCCTGTCGTCACCTTTGTCGAAAGTGTTGAGGAGTCTGAGCTGAAAAGCAATTTGCTGCTAGGAATGTGAGGAACATACCATTCCAACATAGGTGACTCTCAGGACATCTCACTGACATAGAAGCTGACGCCAAGATTTCGAGCCTGCACGCAAATTAATGTGATAGAGATCCAACTAGGTAAACTATATAAATATATATTTTTACATGTATACATATGTTCACCGAAGCGGGTATGTTTACAAAGATGATGATGCAGCTTATTCAGATTAACCTGCTATAAAAAAGCCCAATGTGGTTTTGTTGTGTTTTGGTGCCAGTCTTGCTGGTGTCACCCACAAGAGCAAAACACCAGCAGCAAAACAAAACAGCCAAGATTCGAACAGCCAAACCTTCCGTCACCGGGCCACCAGCTCGAACAACGGAGCTGAAGCAACCCAGCAAGACCAACGTGCTGTTGTTACCCTGCTGGTAGCTGGCGCTTCTTGGCACTTTTGTTTTGCTTTTGTTGCTGGTGACATCGGCAAGACCAGCACGAAAATGTAACAAAACCATGCTGGTCTTGTTGGACATTTTAGTGGGGCTGTCAAAAACCAGAGAAGCAGCTGGACTGAGCAGGGTGAAGCTGCGATGCCTAGAGACACATATGAGAAGGCCAAGTGATGAAAAGAATGCATGACTTGCTGGCCATTTCAGGATACTTTGCGTCCGGAACACAAACCCTCAAATTTGAGAAAGCAGTCTACGAAAACTGCTGAAAGTCATCATCCAAGCTTTTATCCACCCAACTTTGAGGAAGCTGGTTTTCATATTTCGTCCAGCTATTGATTCCTTGCACACACACAGTCACCCTGTGTTTCAATCAGTGTCACCCAGTTCACTCAATTTTGTCGGTTCTGTGCTTTATATAAATAGAAAAGTCATAGCGAGATAATGCGGCTTGTTGGGGGATTCTGTTTTAGACAGCTTGCCTCAACAGCTGTTATGAAACTTGCTATCAAAACTGTAAAAAAAAAAAAAAATCACATCTGGGTTTGTGTTACCAGGACCGCACATATCGCGGGTTTGATTAAATGGGTCAATTCCAACACTTTCAGGCTCAACCCGTGGTCATGGGGAGGGGTGTTTTGTTTGTGTGTTACTGTAGTACCAAAGCAACAGACTGCATCAGTCCAATAACCACCGGAGGCCGAAGTCAGTTTCCTTCCACTTTGGATCATCATCACTCCAGCGCAATGACAGTTCCTATCGTTACCTCTCAGGATGTTCTCAACATGTCGGAAACTGGTCTTACTGAAGTCCCACATTCTTCTGAATGCGTTGATGACAATAGGCAGTGTTTCCTCTCACAGTTTAAGCCGTCAGATACTTCCTATGTTTTTCCTTCAGCTGTAAACAACTACCATTAAATGCATGACTCGAAATGGGCTGGACTCTGGATGGCTGGATTCTCGCTAATACTTTTTTTTTTTTTTGTTACACACTGGATGTTCATCGCACTGGTTATGGGTCAGTCTAGATTTCGACACAGCCACACGAAGAGCCTTAGAAGACATCGCAGGTTCTCATGTTCAGCAGTTAACTCTCCTAAAAGTTTTCCAACCTCTGCTTGTTTTTGCTCCATCTTGTGAGTGTCTGTGGTGACGCACCTCGCTCTCGAGAAAACATAAGCGGGTAACAAGTTGTCGATGACAAAACCGGTCATAGTGGTGGTCATCACCAAAATGACAAATGTAGCTCTTGGCTGTCCCATGAGATGAGAAATGGTCAGTCTCGGCAAACCGTCTTGAATGCAATCTTAATGACTGCGGCGCTGATGTTTCGAGATGTTCTTGTCAAGTCTGAAGAGCCAAAGCTGCTATTGAAACAGACAGACGCCCAGGCCTCACAACTATGCAAGAGGAATGCATGTAATCCACACTTTTTTTTTCTCAGTTCCTCGCAGTCACACAGAAACGAGGACAGAAAATGATAAGGACTTGCAATGTCACTCGGCCTTATGATGATTTCAGAAATCGTATTGTTTCCTTTATAAGATCTTAAGATTCTGGTAAGCCAGCCCAGCGGAAGCAGCGGTGACGGCAGGCTCACTCTTGGTCTCTGTGAGACTGGCTCGATGGCCCCAGTTTTATCGTGGTACGAATGTTGTGCATTTGTTGAAAATCAGGACAGTTTGCAATAACAGCAGTAACTACAGCAGTGCTGATAGAAAACCACAGAGGGATGGATGGAGATATATATACACATGCGCACACGCATACATACTATTGCATGAATACATGTCTAGGTAATGAATATGAAATCATCCAGACTTTGTACATCAGCAGTTGTTTGGGTGTGTGTTTTGCAAAAATGGTCTGAAAATTACTGTTGAGTATTCTGACAGTCACATTTCTGTGCGTTTGTTTTACGGTTTGGACTTAACCGTGGCTTTGAACATTTACGTCAGCAATGGGGATGTAATGATACCGAAACGTCACAATACAGCAATTATCACAATATTGCGGCCATGATTTTAAAAAAGGAAAGAAAAAAAAAAGCTCACAACAACGGTATAAAAGATCATCTTATCAAAAAAAAAAAAAGCTTATGGTATTGGGGAAAAGAAGCACAATATTGTGTTTTTGTTCATGACAGCAGTGATTAAAAAGGTTAATAAGGTTAGCCAGTCATTTTATTATCATGAGTCTACAGAGTTCACAATGCTTTGTCTCAAGCAGGTGAAAAGTTTTTGATTTTTTTTTTTTTTTATGTGCTGCTTTCAATGTGGCAGATTTGTAACATGACAACGGTGATATGCCCTTATCGTTACATCCCTAGTTAGCAAGTGATCAATGTTGGCCCAAACCACAGCGGGGCAAGATTCCCCCTTAAATTATTATGTTAAATTACTTCACAAAATGATTTTCATTTCATTTTTCGTTTTTGAAGCATAATACAAAAACTCGATTTACCAACAGCTAAAACAAGGACAAATATATAGCACATTTTTAAAAAAGTCAAAATCTTCTGCTTCGTATTTCTTTAGAAAACTACTGTTAAGAGACTGTCAAATCATTTCAAACTTGTGATTAAAATCATTTTGGCTCAGACTGCCAAGTATTCCTTATGTGGCCTGTCCATAATTGAGCTCTGCAATTATAAGGTCTTACGTTGCTCAATGAAACTGGTAGTGCTCCACAGTGTTTGTGTGTTGGCGGTGGAGTGTTCATACAAGCCCAGCCACATGAAACATCTCATCAATCAGTAAGCATTAGGGGTGAAATTGCTTGAACGTTTTGAAATTTGTGTTGAATGAATGCTGCTTATTTTAGTCAGTGAATAAAAGCATTGAAATGTAATTTGCTTCCATTGTCTATTTCTTGTTCTACAGTTAATATCACATGACTACAGAATCATCTCAATTAATGGTGTGTAAGCTTATGTTAAATTATTATTTTCATTTTATATTTGAGCATTATATTCTTTGATGTTATAGTTACCTAAATTCTATTCTGTTTAATAATTGTTGAAACAGTCTTATGTTGCTTGCGTCTGATTGGCTAAAGAGAAGCAGGAAGTGTTTTCGTAACTGAAAGGGGGTGTGTTCTCGTTCATCCGTTCGGAAGGGCAGACGTTTTTTCCCCCTTTTAATAAACTGCATTAAAGGATTCCATCTCTCCTTTTGTCATTCGTAAAGTAGAGCTATCAACTAAAAACAACGAACCCCTCAACATACAGGTGTGAAAAAAAGCATTTTTAAACCAAAGGCTGAGTTTAGAAGGTAAACCAATGTTTGTTTGGGTTTTTTTTATGTGTTAAAATAGGTTTCAGTTGGCGAAAAACCTGCCACGATGGAGCCCAAAAAGAAGGAAGGCAAGTGCCCACGGAATTGAAGAACAAAATATTTACTATTTTCGTGATCGTCTTGGTGCGGCCCGGTAGTCGGAGTGGTTAGCACGTTGACTTCACAGTTCAGAGATGCCTGGTTCAATTCCGGGTTCAATGGAGTTTGCATGTTCTCTCCGTGCTTGCGTGTGTTTTGTCCGGTTTCCTCCCACATTCCAAAAACATGCATGGCAAAATTGTCCCTAGGTGGTGTGGGCGCGAATGGTTGTTCGTTTCTGTGTGCCCTGCGATTGGCTGGCAACCGATTCAGGGTGTCCCCAGCCTACTACCCGA